GGTGAAAAAGAACAGAAAGGTACACACCGCAGACTAATAACACAAGGCGAGCGCTGCCTAGAGAACAGCCCGCCCCGCCTAGGACAGCGGAAGCGGCCCCTGGCGCCGCACTTCCGGTCCGGTCTCTCAGTAGCTCCACCCCAGCAGCGGGAAAGTTTCGCGCGTGCGCAGTAGGCCTACCCGGTGCCGCGTGGTGAAGGCGGGACTTTCCTTTCTCTTGCGTAATTTCCGCGCGTCGCAGACGTCACCGGCTTGACTGGAAAGGTCAATCGCTGCTGCGGGCTGGCTCGCCCGCACTTTATGCCCGGTGTCGCTGGCGCATGCGCGCGGCGGTCTTGGCCGACCGGCGCTTGTCGCTGGTCTGTGAGGCCGGTGTCCTGAGGTTCGTCGGAGCGCAGACATGCTGCACCGGCTTGGCGGCCGGTGGCTGCGGCCGCTGCCCACCCTGCAGCTTAGGGCTCGGGGCCTGCCGCTGGTGCCGGCCCCGCCGAGTGGCGCCAAGGCCCCCGCTCTCCCCGTGTGGGCGGTGGCATCAGTCTCTGCCGCTGGCGCGGGCGGCTGGTACGAGGCTCTGGCCGCTTCGGCGCCGGTGCGGGGCGCCGAGGCAGTGCTGCTTGGGGCGCACGCCGCCACGGGCCTGCCATGGTGGGGCAGCATTCTGCTCACCACTGTGGCCTTGCGCGGCGCCGTCACGCTGCCCTTGGCGGCCTACCAGCACTACATCCTGGCTAAGGTGAGAGGCCCCGAGCCGGGGGTGTGCGCTGCGCGTGCACCTCGGTGCTGCAGGATGGGTGACGTCCAGCCGGGGTTTGTCATCCCCCGATACTGCCCGCCGAGTGCTTAGTATTAATCGTGGCCACTTTATTGCCAAAAAATGTAACTAGCATTTGATATGTTAAACAAGAAATGTTTGGTGACAGGTGTGCCTCATTTCGTTTGCGCTCCTGGATTCGTGCTCGTAGCGCAAGTGGCTACTGAACTTGCTCTCGAGAGAATTGAGGCAGAGGATTCAGTAGCAGAAGAAACTGGGTGGAGACACCTATAGAATTACCGTTTTAAAAGTTTTAACAGCCAGTATGTCTGCAGCATCTTTCATCCCAGAGTATTCCAATTGATCTTTCTTATTAGGAAAAAACTGCTAAGCTAGTAATTTGTGAACTTCATTTCATATCCGGGTCCTCCCGCCTACAAGCCTGTGCCTGGATAGTTGCACTCACTTTTTAGTGCTTATTCTCTATGTGGAATCAGGATAGCTTTGCCTTCCTTGCCTACTTTACAACGCTATGAGATAAACTCAGATAATATGGGCTAGAGTGCTTTGAAAACAATAAGGGATTATTGAAATGTGAGATTTCAAAAATAGTGGCTTTCATATTTTCAGGGTATTAGGAAGAAACACAAAGGGCAGCATTAAGGCAGTGAGCTACTTTACAGAAAGATTTAACACAGGGCAGGAATAAATGCAGTTTTTAGTTTTGATTTTGTGGCTATCAGAGTCTAATAAGGACTCTTAATAGACTGCCGTTTTCTCCTCCGTTTATGTTACCAGGATATCTAGGGATGAGGCAGTGAAACCCAGGATGCAGTTCTCATTTAATTCTTACAACCCTGTGAAGTAGGTGCTGTTATGTATTTTATATGTGGGGCAGCAGAATTTTAGAGGCTAAGTTAGTTGCCCAGGATGACACAGCTAAGGGTACAATTTGAATTTGGTTGTGACTGAGAACCTTTTAAGCAAATTAACATCTTATTGCTTAGACTTTAGATTTCTTGACATGATCAGTGGACCGCCTTTTTAAATGAGTTGAGGGAATAGAGAGTAAAATTTTGAGTATGAATGAAGATTCTTTATGTGCTCATAACAAATTCTACTTTTTCTTTAGCTAGGTGGAAAATTTGCAGCCAGAAATTAAAAACATTGCCAGGCATCTTAACCAAGAAGTTGCAGTTCGTGCAAATCAGTTGGGGTGGTCCAAAAGAGTTGCCAGGTAAGATAATTTTTTGCAGGTAAGAGCATGAATATATATATATAATGAGTAAATGGTGATGTTAATTACAGGTTTTGGTATTCTGGCGTTTTGACAGTAAAGTAGTTATTTAATCTTTCACATTTTAATAAGTCACTGTACGGCATGATAGTTTTATATACTGGAGTGAAAGCAAAGAAATAGAGAAACAAAGATAAGAAGAGCATGTTCCTGTTCTTGAGGGACTCCAGCCCACTGAAAAGACAGACCTGTAATCAAATAATGATGGCATTGAATTAAATACTGTATAAAAATTATGTACAAGGAACGTCAGGGAAGTCTTCACAGGATGAGGATAGTTTTGCCATTCTGTTGTGATATTGGTGAACAAATGACACAGGCTGTTTTCAAACTTGACCCTTTTGAAAAGAGGCAGCAGGCAATAGCGCACAGGAAAGGGAAGGTAGAAAGCATAAGTGCCACAGTGGAAGCTTGGATAGCCAAGGTGCTGTCTATCGACTGTGGTTATCCTGTGCAGTTATCTGCCTGGGCTCTTGGAAAGCCCTTGTCTGAGGGTGCTTGACTACACCCAACAATGCCTGCAGCCATTCACCAGGAACTTCCAGGTCCTCCTGCTTCAGTCAGCTAAGCTACTACTTCATCAGTTTCCAACTTCTGATTCTTACTAGACCGTAACAGAGTATTCCGTTCATAGCAATGGGAAAAATAAGGGCTTTGTAGTTTGAATATGCGTTATATATATTATTATTTTTATCCATATATTTTTCTAGCTATGTAGTTGTAAAATTGCCAACTATGTTTAACGTGAGATTGTGTCCCATCTTTATTTGGTGTTAAAAAGACCTGACATTTAAAAAAAAATCATTGCAATAGCTTCATGTCTTTATTTGATAAAAATTGAAAGTTGAGAAACCTGTAATTTTAAAATTTTACTGTTCAGAGAAGTCTGAAAAATACAGCCATAGGCCAAAAA